TGAGTTGAAAGACACTATTTCTCAGCTACAAACAGTTAAAGATAAAACTGAGAAATGATTTAAGTAAGAAAGTCCTTTTAAAGCTTGGCCTTGTGCAAGTATCAAATCAAGGTGGTAACCATCCATAAATTGTTAAACAAATATCTGAATGGACTAAGATAATGTTCTATAAATAACTTCAGTTGGCAAGTGGCTCAAAATAATGAAGCAAAGGTGATGGCTTTTCTATTGAAGCCTGATAGGCTCAAATTAACTCAAGTCAGAGAGAGAGAGAGAAAGAGAGAGAGAGAGAGAGAAATATCAAATCTCAAAAAGAGCAGTGGGTATAATTATTGGCACAAGTAAGCACTTACATAGGAAACTGGTTAAGATTTCAAGTGACATAATAGGACAGGACGACTAACCTGGATAAAGGAAGCTGTGACTCATCAAGTGTTATGCCACTTTGAGGGGAGGGGGTGAAAAGGAAGGACTGGCCAGAGCAGGGAGCCAAGACCCATAAAAAATAATATCCTGGGGTCATTACTCATGGTGTGCAGAGCCACAGATTAATTAGGGACTATCTCATGTGGGTAGATAGAAGGAAGACTGTAATATCTACCCACATGATTTCAGATTTCTTGGAACTACAAACACTGTGTGGTTCTTTTATCTGCAATTATCTTTTCTGTGTCCTGGCATGACCCATTGGGTGTGCATAGGTGTGTAGGGGAAGCAGACACCTTGTCTTGTTAGTTCATGAGTTTCTGGAGCAAGAAAAGCCATATTCAAGCTGATGAGATAATATCATAAAATTGTCACCATCAGGCCTGAAGCTGTAATTAAATGAGACTTAGAGTTGGCTTTTCATAGGATGGGAGTAAGTATATTTTGTGTGCAGAAAGGATAGTTAACTAAATAATTTTGAACTGAAGATTGGACAATGATAGCTTTACTGTTCAAAAATTTTCCCTGGCCCTCCCTTGGAAAGAATTATGTTCTTTTTTTTATTTTTAAAAATTTATTTATTAATACTTTAAGCTCTGAGGTACAGGTGCAGAATGTGCAGGTTTGTTACATAGGTATACACGTGCCATGGTGGTTTGCTGCATCCATGGATGGGTTTGTTTGTTTTTTTCTTTTAAATCTATTTTAGTTCGTTGTAGATTGCGGATATTAACCCTTTGTCAGATGGGTAGATTGCAAAAATTATTTTCCATTCTGTTGGTTGCCGATTCACTCTAATGACTGTTTCTTTTGCTGTGCAGAAGCTGTGGACTTTGATTAGGTCCCATTTGTCTATTTTGGCTTTTGTTGCCAATGCTTCTGGTGTTTTAGTCTTGAAGTCCTTGCCTATGCCTATGTCCTGAATGGTTTTGCCTAGGTTTTCTTCTAGAGTTTTTATAGTGTTAGGTCTTAGGTTTAAGTCTTTAATCCATCTGGAGTTAATTTTAGTGTAAGGTGTCAGGAAGGGGTCCAGTTTCTACCTTCTGCACACTGCTAGCCAGTTTTCCCAACACCATTTATTAAACAGAGAATGGAATTAATTATATTTCTCTATCTTGGCTCTGTTGGGCTTGGCCATCTGACTTGCTCTGCCCAATGAAATAAGAGTGGAGGTCACACCTAGGCAAAATCTTTAAGAACCAGCACTTGGCTCACCATGATTTCCCTTTTACTTCTTCCACAAGACCATCTGTGTTCCAAATAAAGCCTGATTTGTCAAACTGGGCCCTGAAGTGAGGAAAACATGGTGAGAAGATGTTGCCAAGACACGATGGTCATGAATTATGAACAGTACATAAAACTTTGTTTTTATAAGCAACTGAGATTTTTGGGTCATTTGTTATTGCAGTATAACTTAGCTTATCCTGACTGATACAGTCATCAGTGGTTTCTTAATTTTCATCTTGACTCTTGTCTCATGAGCATCAGACACTTGCCACACCTCTAGATCTGATATCCACTCTTAAGCCAGGGAAAAAAAGAAAAGAAAAAAAGATGAGACAGAGGTCTACTTCTTTTTATGCATCAGTGGCCAGAAATGTGTAGGCCCCATTTGTTTCAAGGAAGCCACAACAATGAAGTTTTTGTTTCTATATTCCTTACAGTAGATCCAAGCTAGGGCACAGAAATTTGGAAATGTAGTTTGAGTTGGCCAATTAATAGTGCCTGCCACATCTACTGCTGCTTCTCCCCACAGAGCATGTGCTGTTTATTGGCTATAATACAATCAAGTGATGCTTAGCGATGGGAATAAGTTCTGAGAAATGTGCCTTTCAGCAATTGTTGTGTGGATATCATAGAGCACACTTACACAGACCTAGATGGTACAGCCTGCTGTACACCTAGGTTACGTGGTCTAGCCTATTGCTCCTAGGCTACAAACCTGTACCACGTTACTGTACTGAATATGGCAAGCAATTAAAACAAAGCGATATTTGAGAATCTGAACATATCTAAGCAGAAAAAGTACATTACTGGGTATATATCCAAAGGATTATAAATTGTTCTTCTATAAGGATACATGCACATGAATGTTCATTGCAGCACAGTTTACAATAGCAAAGACCTCGAACCAACCCAAATGCCCATCGATGATAGGCTGGACAGGGAAAATGTGGCACATATACACCATGGAATATTATGCAGCCATCAAAAACGATGAGTTCGTATCCTTTGTAGGGACATGGATGAGCCTGGAAACCATCATTCTCAGCCAGCAAACTGACACAAGAGCAGAAAATCAAATACCACATTTTCTCACTCATAGGCGGGTGTTGAACAATGAGAACACATGGACACAGGGAGGGGAGCACTACACACTAGGGTCTATTGAGGGGAAATAGGGGAGGGACAGCAGGGGGTGGGGAGTTGGGGAGAGATAGCATGGGGAAAAATGCCAGATATAGGTGAAGGGGAGGAAGGCAGCAAATTGCACTGCCACGTATGTACCTATGCAACAATCTTGCATGTTCTTCACATGTACCCCAAAACCTAAAATGCAATAAAAAAAAGAAAAAGAAAAGAAAAAGATAAAAAAGTAATACGTCTAGGACACTTATCATAAATGGAGCTTGCAGAACTAGAAGTTACTCTGGGTGAGGCAGTGAGTGAATGTGAAGGCTCAGGACATGCCTGTACACTGCTGTAGACTTTGTAAACACTGCAGTTAAGCTACATTAAGTTTATAAAAAAAATTTGTCTTTCTTCAATAATAAATTCTAGCTTACTATTTTATTGTTACTTTATAAACTTTCAAATATTTTTGAACTTGTTGACTCCTGTAATAACAAGTTGAAACACAAACACATTGTAGTGCTGTACAAAAATATTTTCTTTATACCCTTATTCTATAAGCTTTGATCTATTTTTAGTTTTTAAAATCAAAAAATATTATTAAAACTAGGACACAAATACACAAGTTAGCCAACACTGACACAAAATCAAGACCATATTAGAGGCTTCTTGGAAAATATATTTTCAAGTGTTTTACTTTTCTAATAACATTGACAAAACACTTGTAATCAACTTGGGGAGTTGGGCGTCACTGATGGGAGGAATTGCAAGTGTAAAGGCCTTGAACTTCTGGGAGAACACAGAACTGGGTGGATTTAGTGAGGGAGTAGCAGGAGGGCAGAGGTCAGTAAGGTTGCCATGTCCAAGGTGATATAGGGTATCGGAGCACCTTCAGGAAGGTCAATTTTCTTTCTTTTGTCCTCAGTTCTCTGGGAAGGCTCTGGAAGACTTTTACACCAGTAAGTAACATGATCATATGTACATTTCCAACATTCTGCCCACTATGTGTAGATGGATTAAAAGAGAGAGAGTGGAAACAGCGGGGCCAGGTAAATAATCATTTTATTTACCCTGGTGATAGATGAATGTGATAAGAATGGAGGAAATACTAATAATGAAAAGAGATGAAGGTGGAACTGATAGAACATGCTGTTGAGATGAATGTTGAGGGAAAGTATAGAATGAAGGCTGTTTTTGGCAAGATTAACAGGGTAATGGTGATGCCATTAACCAAGATGGGGGTTCTTGGGGCTGGAGTAGGGTTGGAGGGAGATTCAGGAGTTCTGCTTTCAGTCATAAGACTGAGATACCTAATGGATATTCAAGGAGAGATGGAGGAAGCTGCAGCTCAGAGAAGAGGTCAGAATTGGGCATGTAAGGAAAGGGGACTCTTTGGGATCTCCTTGGGAGTGAGTTTAGATAGGGAGGAAGTTCAAGGACAGAGTCTTGGGCACACCAACATTAGACACCAGAGAAAAGATAAAGATTCGGCAAAGCATATTGAGAAGGAACAACCAATGAGACATGAGGAAAATCAGGTCTCAATGAATCAAATGAAACAAGGCATCAAGAAGGAACGAGTTATGGAATCTGTCAAGCACCGACAGATGAGGCCTGGGAAGTGGCCACTGGATTTGCTGGCAGAGAGGCCTGTGATGGCTTTGCTAAGAGCTGTCTTGTTGCTGATGGATTCATGAGAAAATTAGAGGTAGGGAAACAGAATGCGAATATGTATGAGTCTTCTCAAATGTTTTGCCACACAAGGGAGTAGTTAATTTTCGCAGAAAACTCAATGGACTGTTTGCAAAAACTTACAATCAGAAAACCACAAAAATCACTCAAGTTAACCAAAATGTATTAAATCTCTCCTCTGTGGAAAGCTCAGTTCTATTAAACAGGAACATGGTGGAAAAGTGACTCAAAAGGGACAAAATGTACCCCATCTCCATGAAGATTATAGTAACTCTGAGAGACTCCAGAAGGGGACAGTGCTATCAGTAAGGCTTGTGGGGTGTCGGGATCCTTATAAGAAGGGAAATTGATTCTGATTAAGGATGAAGGAAGACATAGGTGACCTCAGCTGACTTGAAGCATGAGGAAGATTTAATGAGCTTGGTTTGCTTATCAATCAAAGAATAAAATGTAAAGTTAAAAATTAAACCACTGAGCTAATAAAATCCTCCCAGCTGGTAACATAAGGGCTAAAGGTTTTGGGTAATCATTTATCTCCTGGAATTAGACAACTGCAAAGAGCTGAGAGAAATTTATTTGAAAAGAATGAGGATCCTGCATTCTTCCTCCCTCAGGTTCGTTGACTTTCTATCTTTTACCCTCAATATTCTGCTTTTGAGATGATGGGGATGGGTTATTTTCCCTTAGAGAGCAGCTTAATGTACTGTTTGGGGGCAGAGATTGTGGGAGTGGAGAAGAGAATGCCTGTGTCTTGAAATAATTCTGGTAAGTGAGAAAGGATGTTGCCTTAAGAGTCCAGGAACTACAGGGAATAAACTCAAGAGAATAAAATTTACTAAAAGTATAGCTGAACAGAAACAGACAGACAGACACACAGACTCACAGACAGACAGACAGACAGACACACACACGCACACACACACACACACACAGAGAGAGACAGAGAGAGAGTGTGAGAGAAAGAGAGAGAGATAGAGAAACTAAATGATCTATTTGGACTGTTTTTGTGAAATACATTAATTTTTAAAAACATTGATCAAATCTACAATGAGACAGTAAGTGCCAATACTGAATTCTCACAGAGGAAGATTTTCATCAGGCCTAAAAAATTAATCAAAAACAAATTGTTCTGTTTTGGTTCCAATGAATTTATGGGAAAGCAAAATAAATAAAATTTCCTATGGCTTTGGGAAATAGTTAATGGTGAAGAGTTTAGGGCAGAGGACTTTATTTGTGAGCTGTGAATAAGAGCCATGGGCTGCTTCTCGTAAGGAGGAAAAATATTCAGTGCTGAGACCACATACGATGACACTTAAGATATTAATAGCTCTGCACAGCACCTTAAGGAAAAGTCTCATTCTACAGTAAACTGATGATACCAGAATCCAAAAAGAACAGACACAAGCAGTCTTGGCAAGAAAAAACTGATGAGAGACTGTTATAAGAATGGCTGACCCAACTTCTTTGCTGGTTTTTCCTCATTTACCTGGTTTCAAAATAAATAGATAAGGCTGATGACTTCCGGGTTTTTATTTCTACCAAGGCACTTCTGTTCTTAGCAATAGATCCACACGCACAAAACCTACCTGGCAATCTTCCCTTCTGGGTCTAACAGGAATCTCAACCCCATCTGTCCAAAATAAAGTTCTTGCTTTTCCTCTGAAACTTGCCTTTCCTGCTCATTTCCCCAGCTTCTTTGAGTGCAACACCATTTACTTATTTGCTCAAGCCATGAGTCTAGAAGTCTCTGATGTTCCTCCCTTTTCTCTCCTCCCCATATCCACCTCATTAGCAAGTCTTAGTAGCTTATCTGTAAAACAGGTCCTGAATGTGGTCTTTTTCACCACAGCCAGCCTAGCCCATCCACCATCTACACTTGCACAGGTGAAGAAACAGCTTCTTGTTGAGTCTCTTAGTTCTCAATATTGTCCTTTATAGCCCATGTGCCACACAGTGGCCACAGTAAATCCAGTCTCCTTATCAGGCCCCTGGCCCCTGGCCACCCCTTTGATCTCATCTCCTACCAACCACCTCCTTGTTCACTCTGCACTGCCATGTTGGACTACCTTCTGCCTCGAAAAATGTGACAAACTTGCTGGTTCCTTTGCCCAGCACTGCCTCCTTCTCAGTGTTCCCATTTCAGCTCAGATATAACCATTTCTCACAATCACATGAGGTAAAGTGGTTAGGCTCAGCAGAGTGCTTGCCCTCCTCTCCTGATGCTAGTGACCTAGTTGCTGTCAATGCTACTCTTTTGTTTTTCTCATACCATATGGCATTCCTACTTCTTCCTTTTCCTATGTGCCCCTCCTGGGATGTAACTTTCTCGCGGGTGTGCCGTCTGTGCCTGCGTCCCTTGCCCCACAACACGTGCTGTCCTCCCTTCACCCTCAGCTGGCTGTTCCCACTGCTCTCATTAACGCCAGCAAAGACCATCATCACCCATTACTGAAAAAACTGGCAATTGATTTTGGATTATAATAAGTACAAGGAGAGGACAGTTTAATGAGTACTAGGTCCTTCAGTAATGCAAGAGAAGGAGCTATGAAGCCACAAAATTGCAGTCACTGATTCAATAAATGTTTCCTGAATCAATGAATGAACTGGTGGCCAGTGAACTCTTAGGCATTGAAATGCTAGAAGAGTATGGGTATAGGCTGTGGGAAAACATATTCCCTGAAAGCTATGTCTTTAGTTCTTATGACTGATATTATTTTTTCATTCAACTCATTGCCCTGAGGTGTGAACAGAAATGATAAGCAAATTATTTTTCCAGTAGACTATTCAGTCCCCTCATTTTACCAAGTTTATTTTCAGAGTTACCAAAATCATTCCATTTGCCAGTGAGAATTTGTTTGGATTTCCGTTTAATTTTGAGTGTGTTTTTGAATTCCAGTGCAGACTAGAGGACTCCATGATCTAAGATCTGTGGTTTTGAATGACATCATTGAGGCATCTTCTCTGTCAGTTGCTCACTTACCAACTTTAGTGGTGACATTATGTAACATTTCCACTTATCTTTAAACACAATCAGCTCTGCTTTCTTTTATATTAATAGGAATAGTACTTCACAGAGAGCAAGTGGAAAATGATTTCATTTCACTGGCACCTACTGCTTATCCCTTTATATCTTATTCCTTTACATCTGCTTGGTGCTGTAACTTCTCTGATCATTTTCAGATAGTAACAGGTTTACTGCTGATTTGTAGCCTCCAAATAATCTCATTTTGTAATTAATAGGTCCAGTCCAATGAAAACCAGAGCATTCCAAACTTGATCTAAAAGTAAATGGTCTCCCCTTGCCCCTGTACTACTGCTCCAACTTGGGTCTGGGGAGGGAAGGGGTCATTTGGTTGGCATCTTGTTCCCTTTCTCTGTGAGCTCCTCCTCTCACCTCTCTTGCTAGCTGTGACTTCTGATCTTTCCAGGGTTGGTGGGTAGGGACTTACAAATAAGAGGCAGGGAGTGTCTGTCTTAGCTGGAACTCTGGTGACCAGGAATTGGTGGTCTCTGGGTTGGATGGATGTTCAGTGCTGAATCCTTTATTGTACCCCATTGGGAATATCCACCAGTCCTCCCATGTCATGGATGATTTGTGTTCACTAACTCAGCAGTTAGCGTTCCTTTCTCAGGTATTGGGCATCAGGCAGTCAGCCCCTGCTTTTGGGCTCATGTGGCCTCTCCAGGCAGTTCTCATTTTAAGAGATTGTAAACTGGATTTCACCTGAATCATCCATATCTGGTTCACAAGGGGCCTGCTGATCTCCACCTGGGCATCTTCAGCCATGCTGCTATGGGAGGCATGACAACCTCCAGTGTGGCGTCAATGTCTGCTGTGCTCTGCAGCCTCAGACCAAGAGTCAATGCCTCGTGCCCTTAGATTCTGAGGCATGCGTCACTCACCTTTACACACACCCACTCACATACACATAGGGGACATGTGTCAAGCTCCCTGAAGGACCCCCTTGCAGGCAGCTCCTATCATTTGACTTGAAGTGACAGGACAGTGCCCTCCTCCTTTCTTTCCTGGAGTGAGTGTGATACCTGATGCAGAATATCAGCAACTATCTCTAAAGAAATTCTCACCTTCTTTATCTCAGCCTATTTATGTCCCTGAACTTTATTTTTAACTATAGTAATAATTCAAATTACACTATTGTTGTAACACATTTAAACGCTAAAGACAAAGTTCAAAAGAATGGCCGTTCCTGCCCTCCCCATTCCTTTGCGCAGATAGTCTCTATTTCTGCCTGGTTTCATCTAGGAGGGTTTCATAATTCTAGGAATATATTATCCATCTCCTCTAGGTTTTCTAGTTTATGCACATAAAGGTGTTTGTAGTAGTCTTGAATGATCTTTTTATTTCTGTGGTATCAGTTATAAAATCTCCCATTTTGTTTCTAACTGAGCTTATTTGGACCTTCTCTTTTTTTTCCTTGGTTAATCTCACTGATGGTCTGTCAGTTTTATTTACCTTTTAAAGAACCAGCTTTTTGTTTCATTTATCTTTGTATTTTTTGTTTGTTTCAATTTCCACTTAGCTCTGCTCTGATCTTGGTTATTTCTTCTGCTGGGTTTGCATTTGGTCTGTTCTTGTTTTTCTTTTTTTTTCCTCGTTTCAAGTTTTAATCAAAGCTTGTATATAAGGTTACTTTATTCCTGCATCTTCTCTCAATTGTTTCTTCCTTGTATTTGCCCTTTTCCTTTCCTACTTGGCGAGATTTGGCTTTCCGTTCAAGGATCTTTTTGCAGTCTTTCTCCAGTTTTAGCCTAGTGATAACCACCTTGCTTGGGTGAATGCTTACATGGACAGTTGTGCCATTAGCCTTTTCCTGCTGTACCCGTTCAATATAGTTTACATATTTCTTCCTGTAAACCTGGACTACTTTGCCAATCTGCTGACCTTTATACTGTCCTCGTACAACCTGAACTTCATCATCCTTTCGGATGGGCATGGATCGCACGTTGTACTTCTGTCTCAGCTCTTTGGAAACGGGAGGACATAATCTTCCTGCGAATGTGGGAAGGTGCATTGAAACGCCTTTTGCGATTCTTGCTTCAGTCGGAAGTCACAAAGGGATTGAACTTCATTTTGGCAGCTCCCGCTTAGGTGATGGCTGCAAAAGGGAAGAGCTGTTCTTGTTTTTCTAGTTCCTTGAGGTGTGAACTTAGATTGTCTATTTGTGCTCTTTCAGACTTTTTCATGTAGGCATTTGATAGCATGAACTTTGCTCTGAGCACCGCTTTTGTTGTATCCCAAAGGTTTTAATAGGTTGTGTCACTGTTGTCGTTCAGTTCAAAGAATTTTTAAATTTTCATCTTGATTTCATTGTTGAGCCTATAATCATTCAGGAGCAGGTTATTTAATTTCCATGTATTTGCACTGCTTTAAGAGTTCCTTTTGGGATTGATTTCCAGTTTTATTCCTCTGTGCTGAGGTAGTACAATCAAAATCAAATTTTGATTGCCTTAAATTTGTTGAGATTTATTTTGTGGCCTATTATATGGTCTGTCTTGGAGAATGTTCTATTCGCTGATGAATAGAGTGTATATTCTACAGTTATTGGGTAGATTGTTCTGTAATTATGTTAAGTCCATTTGTTCTAGGGTATAGTTTAAGTCCATTGTTTCTTTGTTGACTTTCTGTCTTGATGACCTGTCTAGTGCTATCTGTGAAGTCCCCCATTATTATTGTGTTGCTGTCTATCTCATTTCTTAGGTCTAGTAGTAATTGTTTTATAAATTTAAGAGCTCCAGTGTTAGGTGCATATATATTTAGAATTGTGATATTTTCCTGTTGGACTAGTCCTTTTGTCATTATATAATGTCTCTCTTCATCTTTTTCAACTGCTGTTGCTTTTAAGTTTGTTTTGTCTGATATAAGAATAGATATTCCTGCTTGCTTTTGGTGTCCATGTGCATGGAATATCTTTTCCCACCTTTCTGCCTTAAGTTTATGTGAATCCTTATGTGTTAGGTGACTCTCTTGAAGACTATAGATACTTGGTTGTTTACCTGTCTTTTAAATCTTTATATGCTTTAATATATGTATCCAATTCTTTGATGACTGTATAGTATTACAGAAAATATCTGCATTTAACTATGCAAATATTAAATAATCATTAGTTAGCTCCTGACTTTTTGCTTTCACAAATATTGCTTTAAGGAGTGTCCTGGAACATACTATTCTGTGTGGCTGTGCCCATTAGTCTCTGGTACACACCGTGAAGCAGCAATACCAAGTGGAAGGGTGCAGCTTGCCTCCCTCAAACAATAACTGATTTCCCCACATTTTTGCCTAAGCTTGGTGCTAACAGTCTTAAAATGTTGATGAAAACTGATAGGCAAGAAAGAATAGGATCCTGTTTTTTTTTTTTTTTCTTCTTCTTTTTTGAGACGGAGTCTCGCTCTGTCACTAGTCTGGAGAGCAATGGAGTGATCTCGATTCGCCGCAACCTCTGACTCCCGGGTTCAAGCGATTCTCCTGCCTCAGCCTGCCGAGTAGCTGGGATTACAGGCACATGCCACCACCCCCAGCTAATTTTTGTATTTTTAGTAAAGATGGGGTTTCACCATGTTGGCCAGGATGGTCTCGATATCCTGACTTCATGATCCGCCCACCTCAGTCTCCCAAAGTGTTGGGATTACAGGAGTGAGCCACCGTGCCTGGCTGGATTCTTTGAATATCTATGTTCTTGATAGTGAAGTGAAGCACATTTCCCCATGTTTGTTCTTCATCTATACTCATATATTGTTCCAATAGTTTCCTACTTTTTACCAATTTACTGTCTTTTTTAAATTAGCTTGAAGAAGTTGTAAAAATACTACTCCATATTTGATAGACTGCTATAATTTATTTCTCTTCTTCTATCAGTGATCTTTTATTATAAATAAGTTTTGTTCTTTTTGTGTCCTGTAGTATCCTTAAATATGTTTAGGTGTAGCTTTCATTTCATTTCTCTAGCTTAAGATTCATTGTGATTTCTGAATCTGAGAAATCTTGTGGTTTCATCTATTCTGAAAAATTCCTATTTGTTATTTTCTAAAGTATTCCTTTTTCTCAATTCTCTTAATTTTCTTCTCCTAGAAGTCCTATTCAATTCAACATCTATTGGACCTTTTCACTCAATTTTTCAGGTTCTTAACTTTGCTGTCATCCCTCATCTTCTCACTGAGCTTTATTCTGTATAATTTACTGTTTACCTTTCATTTTACTAATTCTTTCATTAGCTATGTCTAGTCACTTAGTTTCAAATTTTAATGCCTAAATTGTTTTTTTGTATTTCAGGTAGCCTCTTTCTTAAATCTGCCTATTCTTTCTGGTATCTTTTTATGTTTTAGAGTCCATATTTTATTTCTTCAATTATTTAAAGCATGCTTAGATAATGTCTTTGTCAGTTTATTCTATTTTTGGAAGTTGTCAGCAGTTTAATTTTGCCATGTATTGAGTCTAAAAACTTGTTTTGGATGGATCACTTCCTTGAGTGTTTATAATTTTTTATTTTGAGCTCATAATATATAGAGCTTCATCTGCAGTAATTCAATGTTACCTGTTTTGAGCAAATCAGACTGGGCTTGATTCTTCGCCCAGTTTTTTAGCTGGGGATGAGTTCTTAGACAATGAAGACAATATCAATTCCAAACCTCAATTCTCCATAACCTAGTTATGAACTTTCACAATTTTCAGGGGAGACTCTTTATTTTCAAACCACAACTCAGGACAAAGAGATTTGTCACTGTCTTATTGTTTAAATGGGAAGAGCCTCTTTAACCAAGTTTTGAACCCCTTTGAGGCATCTGACTCTATATTAGGATCTCCCTTACAAAACTGCCTTACTGGCATGGGCCTAAGCCTTCATCCTTCATCCCCACAGGGCCTTAGATCTCAGGCCCCCGCATCACCGAAATTGATGCTTCTGTGCCCCAATCTCATGGTCACTGGAGTTAGTGCAGACATTTAACTCAATAGAGATATCTCTTATTGTCTTTGCAGCTATGTAAAAGGATGTTTGCTATATTTTAGGTAATATATATAGGTATTTATAATAGTTTTTTGGGCAATTTAATCCACTGGAAACTTCTAAATGAAATTTCAAATAAAATTGTCAAGCTTTCATGTTCATTTGATACTAATATCAATTCAGAGACATGGGAACACAGAACTAGAAAGAATCTTACAATTTATCAAGGCAATCCAGGTCACATTCCTCACTTTGGAGATACAGATACTAAGAACCAGGGTAAACTGCGACCTTTCCAAGGCCAGCCAATTGGTTAGTGATAGAGCCAGGATGATAAATTAGTTTTAATGAAGCATAATGTAGAGCTTTTCTTACAGAGCAACATTTGCTCCTAATTCTTAGAAAGAACTGGGGCAGTATCATATAAAATTCTCTCTGTATTTGCTTTTGCGTTCTTTTATTTCAGTAAGTAAATGCCAGTCCCTGGGAAGAGAGAACCAAAATGTCTACCGGAGCAGATATCAAGGCTACAGTGGGGGACATTCCCAATGATGGCAATTTAAACATGGCTCAAGAGGAGTGCTCCGGGAAAGGTAAATCATGCACAGTAATCTGGTAGTAAATAAAACTAGGATCTATGGCACCTTGACTTCTCTTTTGTTGATACACATCATTTTTCTTGCTGTTACCAATTGCCAAGAATTCTACATAGCTATAAATTGTTATTGATAATTATTTCATTTCTAACAGGAAACTTCGAAGGTATATAAGACAGGCAGGTATCATGACATTATTTAGAAATGAAGGAAGAAAATCAGAGCAGATTCTAAGTAGGAAATAGAGACATCAACCTTGGCTTGTCTGATTCTAAGTCCAAGGCATGTCGCATTAGATCTCTTTGCTCTGTTAAATCCAGACCTGCCCCGACCCCAAAATGGGCTTTTCCTTTCTACTATGTCATAGAAGTCATCTTTCTTCCTTCCTCTTATCTATATTACAACATTATGCTTTCTATCATATGCATTAAGGGGAACTGTAGAACATTTTACTTTACCCTAAATGCTTAATGACTTATAACTATGTTATTCATTAATTCTTTTAAGGATATAGTCGTTTCATAAGACAATGCCTTTAGAAAGAAAATCACTAACCACTGTCGAATGCTTTGTAAGACTCAACATTTTAGCCAGTTTGTCTGTTAATAATTATGTATGTCTTCAAGAAAAGAGATTTCTCCTGATCTCACCCATCACAGAAGAAATCAGGAAATGTGAATGTTAGTACTCACCCTAAAACTAGCTAACATTTGTCCCAGAATAAATACTATTCCAGTAGTCTTGGCCGAAGGTCTCATTTGTTTCTAAGAATTTCAGAGTCTACTAGACTATACCATTGGCCAAATTATTTTATCCTATCATTCTGTCTCTCCCTCAAAATCAGTAATATGAAGAACTTACGTGTAAAAATTTACTAAGGTGCAGTATAGCATACTGGGTGAAAGCTCAGGTCAGAAATCAGAATACTTGAGTTTGCCATCCTGATTCTGCCATTTATGAGCTCATTACTACCACTCACATGATGTCCCTTCCTCAGTCCACCTTTTGGCAGTCATTGGAAAGTTCATTTATAATTTGTCTAACGTGGAGCTCCTGTGGTCTTTCTGGTTCCTTCTATAGTCTCCTAAAACATCTGGCCCACCATGCCACCCAGTTCTCTGGTGACCACCCGGGAGCTATAGCTATATCGGACAACACCTTTGTAACTTACTTTACCCCAGCCTGTTGTTTCAAACAGCATCATGCTGCTAACATTCATCCTTGTTTGGCAGTCTCAGCCTACCTAATAAGGCAGAACCCCAGCTACTCCTTCAAGCCTTACCTAGTTATTTTGTTGTGTATCCAAGTATTTCTCACAAATGCTTAGGAATAAACCTTGCTGATTGCCTCGTCAGTTGGTGTCCTACATCACTTTTCCTCTCATCTCCTTCTCTGGCTCATGGTCACTAGGCATGGCTGGATCTTCTATATCAGACTCCCAGGGCACTGCTGGGGCTTTCTCTGGGTACCAGTCCCCAAAGGCTACTGATGTCTTTGCTGTGCTTCTAAGATACTCAGAGAGCTGAATCCAGGTATTCCATGGGATGTGGAGAAATGCCCTCTCCCGCGTTATCTGGTCACCTGGTTACACAAAGGAACTGCTCCAATAACCCAGAAACCTTGAGTGAAAAAAGCTGGGCCTTCAGGTTCTGCCTAAAGATCAGTAGTTTTTCTCTATCAGGCTCAGTTAGGGATTTCTGGAGCTGGGCGGAAGACAGACATCACTTTGACCTTCTGATCCCCTTTTCCCCTAGAGGTCCATGAGCTTCTGTATCAGTCTGGGCTATATCACAAAACCAAAAGCAAATTTGGCATTTCTGAGAAGAAAGAAGATTAATATAGGGGACTAGAAGATTCCACAGATGTTGGAAGGTTAGGGAAGCAAAAGTCAGGTTGGTTAACTTTCAGAAAATCCAGGACATGACACTGCCAATAGTCTGAGCCATGTGCATCACAAAGTGCGTGATTTTCAGGATGCCCCAAAGTCACAGGCCGAAATCCCATGTTTAACATGACTGATCCTTGCTCACCCACCTGCAGCTGCCTCCAGAGCATAGTGGTTTCTCATTGAGTTCAGCCTGCCATATTGTGCCAGAATGCCCTCATTTGTAGAATCTGAATGGAATCTTTTTGCACGGTAGTCTGATGACTGTAGCTTCCAGATATTTGTCCCTTTGTTACTGTGAAGGCCACAGAAGGGTGGGAAAGGCACTGAGAATGATATCAGGGACAGTATCCTTTCTCCATATCAAAAGCCTGCAGGGAAGATACACTGCCCACCTCCACGGGGAAGAATGCCATCGGAAGGCCAATTTATAATAGCATCCCTTTCGGAAAGCCATGGAAATGAATAAAACAAATACAACACTTTGAGAAAGTACCTCCATCTAGGTTGAAATCAAGGAATTGTTCCTACCAATGACACACTACAAACTCCAAGTCTCGCAGACAGATTTAATACAATTTGGAAGAAACTGAGAGAGGAACCAAGAGCTGATAAAACTCCCATCCGTGAGGCATGGGGCAGTGTTAGAGGAATAACAGAGGATGCTGTGGAGTTTCAGCCTGTGCTCCCCAGCTTGGAGCGGCAGTGTCCAGAAGCAGGGCAGACCATAGGCATCATGAGCCCCTCAAGGGTCTGCAGTGCTGGGATGTGCTGGATGAATCGTGCATGGGCCCACATCCTGTGGCTTTCCCCTTGCACTTCACTGGCCTTTCTGATCTGCAATTTAGCATCAGAGGGCCAGTGCTACAAAGCAGTGGAAAATATGAGTGATTGGAGAAATCAATTTGGAAATTTGGAATGGTTTCTCTCAAATTCTGCAATGTTATTGCAGAATTAAAATGGTACAGTAGTTAGCTTCCCTTGAATTGGTGAGGGAATTTCCTACCTCCTCCTCCCTGCCGCCTGCTGCCACCAGCCCACCCACATAAACCACCGCATCATAGCTGGGCCTCAAACCAGCATAGGTGACCCTGTGCAGGGGTTTTAAAATGTGAGAACAAAGTCATGCACAACTGGCCTTTATAGTTCAAAGCTGTAGGGGTGACTACAGGGGACTTACAGAAATATGCTTGCACAAAGGAAAGAATAAGGTAAGGCATGTGTTAAATAAAAGAGAAATTGACAGACACACTTATGAAAGATAATAGTTCATTGTAATAGCTGTCACATGAGTGCATGCCCTACATCAAGCACTGTTCTAAGCAGTCTGTATGTATTAATTCATTGACTTCTCACAACAATCCTTCAGAGAAGGTACAACTAGCATCATCTCCATTTTATAGGAGCCTGCACTCAGGCTCAGAGGTACAAAAAGGCAGCAGCTAGATTCAAAACAGCTATTGTTACCCATTACATCACACTGCTATGCCTATGTTATTATGGGGAAATTGAGGAATATTTTCATCTTCAATTTCTTAAAGTTTTCAATAATGACAATAATAACAATAATTAAGCATACAGTGTAGGAAGTAAATCAACAGAAGAATATGGAACAAGTCCCTAACAGAGATGAGAAACAAAACTAAGGAGGAAAAAAATGTCACTGTGGAATTAAAATGGAATTGGCAGTGGCAAGGAGAAGACAGATTTGAAAAAGAAAAGAAAACAGATTATGTAATAATAAATAAAAACTAGTTAATTAAACATCCAATTCACTGAGCCTACAACTTCAAGGAAATTATGTAGGAAAATGAAATAGACAACATAAATGTAGAAAATAATGTGAACTCAAATCATGAAAAATTTGGATTAAAAAATGTATCTGAGAGCTGGGTCTTTGATTAAAAAATATGCCACTCATGGTAATAAAACAAACAATCCACTACTCAGATTAATCAGGCAGAGCGATTAAATAAAAGTAATTATCAGAAAATAGGAGACAGAAGCCTTGAAAATGTATAAGATACTAATTATATGAAAGGTACCTAAGTAAATGATTTTCTAGGAATTATAATTTATAATGATAAAAACTTCAATTATCATTATTTATGAAAATTTAACATTTTAAATATAATTTAATTATATTATAATTTTCTAGAAATTATGGTTTCTAGGAATTATACATTTTATTTTTATAATTTATAAATTGGGATAAAGAAAAAATTGTACATGTCAAAAAACACAAATGAAGAAAATTGTCTAAAAGTTATTCCTTTTAAAACAAACACAGAAAGAAACAAATATATCTGGTAATTTCACTAGAAAAATTATATAAGATTTTTAAGGAGCAGAAAATGCCTATTTATCCTGTGCAAAAGAATTCCAAATAATTTATATAGCACCCCACCTTCTGAAGATGGAGCTGAGCTCCTTCATACTTAAGTGTGACTGGTGTGTGTGACTTCCTCCAGAGTACATTTGTACATATTAATTCATACAAAAAATTAAAAAGATAAAAAGAAAAAAGTAATTTTACAGTGGAGCAACCTGGAAAACACTACCTGAAGCCAGGGACCAAGATCAACTCAACAGTAAGAAGTCTTGATGACAGTGTGTGGCCTTAAGATGATGTGATAAGCATGGCAGTTTACTTCCATGGCCTTCCTCTAAAAAACACATAACCTCAGTCTAATCATGAGAAAAATATCAGACAAATTTCAATTAAGGGACACTCCACAAAATACCTTACTGGTATGCTTCAAAACTGTCAAGGTCTTTAGACATTTTAGAATACAAGGTATTTAGAATACATTTTAAAAACAAGGTAAGTCTGAAAAAGTGTCATACCCAAGAAGATTCCAAGGAGACGTGACAGCTAAATGTAATGTGTTTCTCTATATAGGATTCTGGAACAGAAAAAAGGACATTAGGTAAAAACTAAGAAATGTGAACAAACTGTGGACTTTAGTTGTTAATAATATATCAATGTAGGCTTATTCATTGCAACAAATGCACCATAAGATGTTAATTACAGAGGAAATTTTGTGTGAGATATAGAGAAACTCCATAATTCTATACATCTAAAACTGTTCTAAAATTAAAAATTTATTAAGAAAAAATGGCTACGTGCCTAAAACATCTCAGATCATAAATTGACATGGAAGCTTATAACTTTTTTTTTTTGAGACAGAGTCTCACTCTGTTTCCCAGGCTGGAGTGCAGTGGCGTGATCTTGGCCTCCCCAGTGGCAGCTACTGGGGAGGCTAAGGCAGGAGAATTGGTGGTGGGCAGAAGTTACAGAGGTGGGGATTACAGGTGCCTGCCACCGCGCTAGACTAATTTTTGTATTTTTAGTAGAGATGGAGTTTCACCATCTTGGCCAAGCTGGTCTTGAACTCCTGACCTGGTGATATACCTGCCTCAGCCTCCTAAAGTGCTGGGATTACAGGTGTGAGCTACCACACCCAGCCATAACTTTAAAAAATAAATAAATAAAAACAAAGCTAGAATACCAAAAAATAACACATACGTATATACATAAACAACATATTAAGATCAACTGTATATACTAAATAAAATTCTAGCTAAAGCATTAGCAAAATACATCATATTTTAAAAATTTTAAATAGCCTATTAAGAATAAGAAGAGATCATCCCAATAGTACAAAGATAGTAGGCTATTATAACTATAATGAACTTACATAAACTTATTCAATTGTTATCACAGTGCCTTGAGGTAGACTCTATTATGAATATCATTTTTCAGGCAAAATTTGGAGCCACAGAGAGCTCAGTACCTTGCCCAGAGCACACAGCTATAAGTAGAACACACAAGTTGGAATTGGAATGCAGGTATCTGATTCCAGAATTAAAACACAGTTTGTCAAACCTATTTATTCCCATACAAAATATTTAAAAGTAGGAACAGAATAGTTTAATATAATTAAAGTACATGTCACACCAACAACTAGAGGCATACCTAATGATGTAATGTTTTGAAGCACTGTCAGTAAATGCAAATATAGCTGAGGTGTCCATTCTTACCATTTCTATTTAGTCCATTTTTTGAAAATGACAGTGAATTAAATTACCCAGGAAAATGAAATACATGTTGCAAATAGTAAGCATAATCAACTATATTTTCCCATCATTTACATATGATTTGTCTTTACTTCTTTATTGAATCAAAACCCAATGGGGGAAAAACTGATGAAAATGATGGGGAAAAAAACTCAGTTACACAAAAAGAAAAAGTACTTTACAAAATTTGTGAAGGCCTTAACTATAAAATTCCACCTTGGACAGATTAAAAGACTAATACTCATACATGGGTAGGCTAGAAGACAATACTATAAATGTGGCAGTCATTCTTAATTTAATCTGTCGTATCAATATGACTGATCAAAATTCTATTGTAGATTTTTTGTGGATGGTGCATTGGCCGGCTTGGGGGTGGGAAACAAAATGCTCTTAAAGTTGAACCAAAGATGAGATCTGTCAATTTCTGGAACTTAGCAAGAGCACTACCACACAAAAGGAAACCATGCTGTCCATTCCAAGAGCATTTGCTCCCTTTCAGGAGCCAGGAAAATGACATCTTCATACCTTGTGATTATACATTACCTCTGGGATTTTTCTACAGGGAGAGTGGATGAACTCCTCTGTTTCAAACTAATGTATTTGGACTCAACCACAGGGATATCCCCAGAGCTCCTATGGAACACTAGCAAATTTTGTGTAAGCATAGAATAGAAGTTTACTTCCATTAAGTATTAAATTGAAGTATTAAGATGAAGTTTAAATGATTCTATGAGCTAACCATCGCCTATCTTTCAAGTTTCATCTCTCTCCAGTCTCAGACAAACTAATCTTCCATGTTTCCTGGTTATAAATGGCACTTTCAGCTTTCCCAGCTGCCCAAGCAGGGAACTTGGGAGTCATTTCCAGCAATTTCCTCTCTCTCACTGCCCATATCCAGTCACTGCTCCCAGCCAATTTTTTCTGTAAATCAATTTCTTCCCATTCCCATTCTAATCTTCTTATCCCAGAGTCCTGCCTGAAAAGCTCTCGCTTAATGCTTGTTCTGACCAATTCCCCACATTCTTCAAGTCTCTGAGGAATGCTTCTGAGGGAGCCACCTCCCCCATTACCTCCCATGGGGACAGATGTCCACGACACACCTACAGAGGAATGTCTGGTCTCCCTATATTTCTGCATTCCAGACTTAGGAAGAGTAGGAGAAAAGCATTCTGATTGTGACTTTGCATGCCCTTCTCCTCTCAGGCTTTTGTTCAATCCGACATGGACTGGCCTTCATCTTGCAGCTGTGTAATTTTTCAATATGTACCCAACAAATGAATTTGAGCATTGCCATCCCAGCTATGGTGAACAACACAGCCCCTCCCAGCGAGCCCAATGCCTCCGCAGAATGGCTCTCCACTGACTCCCAGGACTACTGGAATGAAACGCTAAAACAATTTAAAGCAATGGTAAGTTTAATGAGACTCTGGACTCTTTCTTTGACTCAAATAATTTGACTTAAAGAGTTATGTTATAAAAGAGTGAGATTCATTTATCCACTAAGATCTACTGAACATGTACCATGTGTCAGGAATGGCACAAGTAGATAAGTATCAGGCCGAGCATGGTGGCTCACACCTGTAATCCTAGCACTTTGGGAGGCCAAGACATCTTTACTAAAAATATGACAATCAGTCAGGCATGGTGGTGGGCACCTGTAATCCCAGCTACTCCGGAGGCTGAGGCAGGAGAATTGCTTGAACTGCGGAGGTGGAATTTGCAGTGAGCGGAGATAGCGCCACTGCACTCCAGCCTGGGCGACAGAGCGAGACTCTATCTTAAAAAAAAGAGAAGAAAATTTTAAAAAATGAAAACTATAGTAAGTATCTAAGGGGATTGCATCCCTACTTAGTGTCTGTGAGTATAACCAGAGACTAAGATAGAATGAAGGAAACATTTTACCATTTAATGGACATAAATTCTTCCCCTACAATGATGAAAATCACTACAAAATATGTTTCACAGATTTGTCTGCTTTCTCTTCCTATATTTTAGTACCTTACTTATGATGCATTTTTCTTTATAGCCTTTGTTTCTTTACAGGCTCTCTTATATTTTTATTTTTTGGTTAATTGTGTCAGGGTGAGCAGAAAGAGTATGTTGGGCATATATTTAGGGGCTTTAAATATGTGATACTGGTATATTGGAGGAACTGGAGAGATGTAAAAGGAAAGAACTGCCAATTATTTTTTGCTTCTCAAGTCCAGACAATAAAAACTGTCAATTCTTCAGCTAAAGACAAACAGTAACTCTCTTTGTCATCTAGGCCCCTGCATATGACTGGAGTCCTGAAATCCAGGGAATCATCCTCAGCTCCCTCAACTATGGCTCATTCTTGGCCCCAATCCCCAGTGGTTATGTGGCTGGAATATTTGGAGCAAAGTATGTGGTTGGTGCGGGCTTGTTTATTTCCTCAGTCCTGACCCTCTTCATTCCACTGGCAGCTAATGCCGGAGTGGCCTTGCTCATTGTCCTCCGGATTGTACAAGGCATAGCCCAGGTACCAAGATATTTTCCAGGTATAAGTGAAATATAGGTTCCAGAATGACCTCAGATCTCCAAGAATGAAATTTCCCCTCCCCCCAGGTTACGGTATTAACTGGTCAGTATTCAATTTGGGTCAAATGGGCTCCCCCACTGGAAAGGAGTCAACTCACCACCATTGCTGGATCAGGTAACTGATACCCTAATCCCCACCTTATATATACTGTCCAAGAGAACTCTGCAAAGTCCTCTCAACAGAACCAAGATCTTATCTATCAATCACTCTATCTTCCTAGTCCTTGCTTTAAAGAACTACCCCATGCTGCCTTTCTTGATCATAACTGAATGACCCGAATGTTTACTATGCGCCAAATATTCTTGTGTTTGCACATATTTTCATCTTATCCTCAAAACAATTTTATAAGTCAGCTATATATAATTACTTCCATTTCACGCATAAGGACTTTCAGATAAAAATAGACTAATAACTTGCCCAACATCACATAGTTACCAAGTGAAGGAGCAGGATTTGAACCTAGATAGTTTGGATTGAAGCTCATACCTTCAATCACTGTGCAACTCGGCACTGAAGAAAGCACATAGAGCCCCAAGATGGGTCCTCTCACCAGAACATCCTTGCCTCCTCTGTTCAGGGTCAATGCTGGGGTCCTTCGTTGTTCTACTTGTCGGTGGTCTCCTCTCCCAGACCATAGGATGGCCTTACGTCTTCTATATCTTTGGTGAGTGTGCTTTCCAAATCTCAAATTTTTATGACAGAAAATTCTGTGATGCAATTTATCTATAGTTAACTAAATCCTAATAGATATGGATATTGATATAGCTAAAGCTGGTAGTGTTCAGAGCCAACTATGTTTAACATTTATGTTTCAGCAGCCTGAGTTTATAGTTAGAATAATTTTATGACATTAGAGGCGTCATAACATTCCTTATTGCTTCTAAATTTAACCTAAAGGACCTCAGAGCAAACAATTTCATAAGATGTTGAAAATGTTATCTTAGGGTGAGTGCAGTGGCTCATGCCTATAAACCCAGCACTTTGGGAGGCTGAGATGGGTGAATCACATGAGGTCAGGAGTTTGAGACCAGCTTGGCCAACATGGGGAAACCCCATCTTTAGTAGGAATACAAAAATTAGCTGGGCGTGATGGTATATGCCTGTAATCCCAGCTACTCAGGAGGCTGAGGTGGGAGAATCGCTTGAACCCAGGAGGCGGTGGTTACAGTGGGCTGAGATCACACCACTGCACTCCAGCATGGGCGACAGAGTGAGACCTTGTCTCAAGGAAAAGAAAAGAAAAAAAAAGAAAAGAAAAGAAAAGAAAATGTTATCTTAGTCGTACTACATTTTAGTCATGCTTTTTAATTTAACATATTCTTTTAAATTTCTCCAGTTACTATTATGGCAAAAACCACAATTACTTTTCAACCAACCTAATATAATAGCCAGAAAATTGTGTGACTGTGACTTAATCATAGGTAAAATACTTTTTAGAGTGGAGAATCAACCAGTGGAGCCTACAGGGAAGGGCAGATGATGTGAGGTTCAGAGTGGACATAATACACAGACAGACATGGCAGAAAGGTTCCAAAGACACATGGGAAGTTCCAGAGGCAGTATTTTACTACATTACAGTTTTACTTTCATGGAGCTGTGCTTGGAATCCACCTAGCTGCTGTCAGCTAAAGTTTGTTTAATTTTTGAAACATGATCCAAAATCCCACCCCTAAATTGTCTATGGTAATTCCTTCTAGTCCCACTAGTGTGTTCATTAGAGGACAGGCATCTTTGATCAAGGGTTTCTGTAACATCATGTAAATATATTCACCAAAAAACACATGTAATTATTCCTTAGCACAGCACACTAACCTTCAAAGTTTCTATTATGAAAATTTTGGAAGGGCAGTTTACAAAAATTATTCAAACAATGAGAAAATCTTACTGTGCTTATGGTTTTGAGAAACAGTAAGGAACATATACACAATAGAAACCCACTTCATATTTGTTGAATAAATATTAACATCCTCCAACCACAATGGGTAACATTATAATTTTCATATCTATCCCTCCCCACTTGATTAATTTCCTTGATGGCAAAATTGTTTCTTTGTCATTTTATATTCTCAAAATTTAGCAAAATGCCTGGTATATGGTGGCTGCTGTATGATGCTTGTGAAGGAATTTGTAAATGACATGCTAGCCAAATAAAGAGAGCCCATAAGATTTCTTAAGATTCTAAAAAGGGAATCTGAAGATGGGCCATATTTCCACTCAATACTGATAATGTTAAATTCTCAACTCTGTAATAATATATGTATTAGAAAAAATTTCTTTGCTGAGGATTAATTTCATTTCATGTCTAGAAATTGGGTAATCAATTTCACATAATAATGTACTGCTGCTCACTCTTACGTGCTTTGAGGAAGATAAGAGATAGCTACGGAAAGGTTTAGTGATGAAAGGAACTCTGCAAAGCATGACTAGCAGGAGGGATGCTGACGGGTACATGAACAGTGAGGGCATTTTCAAGCACGTGGGGCAAACATGCTACTAACTTGTAACAGTGTGCTATAGCTTAAATAACAGTGCATTTCAAAACCTCCCAAAATTCAGTGGCTTAAAACAATAATCATTTATTCCTGTGGTTCTTTGTGGGACAGCTGGCCAGCTCCATTCTTGAGAATGGTCTTCCAGTAGTATTGGGATTTTTAAAAACATGCTTTTTAATGCTTAGGCTTGAAACTCCTCCATGCTATTGGCAAAAGCAAGTTGTATGGCCGAGACCAAAGTCAAGTGGTGGGGAAGTACCCTCCCCCTGTGATAGGGCCATGCAAGGGATAGATGGCAGAAAGAGTGTAGTACTGAGGCCAGCCATTCTGTCAACCACAGGATTCATCTTAGCGTCAAACTGAAAGAAGAACTTCAATCAATCTAGTGCTAACTGGATCCTCTTGTCCTAGGAGGAATTGGCTGTGCCTGTTGTCTTCTCTGGTTTCCTCTCATTTATGATGATCCTGTGAATCATCCCTTTATCAGTGCTGGTGAGAAGAGATACATTGTGTGTTCATTGGCTCAGCAGGTACATTGAGGAATTCCTCTGACATTTCTCTGTGTCCCTCTATATGTCTCAGAGATGAAGAGTGCAGTAGAGAGAGCTGTCTTCTGATGGAGGGGACATTGATGTGTGCTTTCTTCCAGGATTGTTCACCAGGCTGGTCTCTTCCCATTAGGGCTATGATCAAATCCTTACCACTCTGGGCCATTTTAGTCTCTTATTTCTGTGAATATTGGCTTTTTTATACCATTATGGCATACACACCAACGTACATCAGCTCGGTACTTCAAGCAAACCTAAGAGATGTAAGTACAGAGAAAGCTCATTCTGATCTTCTGTTTGCTTAAATGCTTAAATAAATAGAGCTCATATATAATCCTGTCTCTCCCATGATCAAAATCAGGGGATTAGGACCAGGACCTCCACAGAGGAAATGCAATCTAGTTAATTTGGATTCTGATTGATCTCAATATGGTTTACTACTTACTACAGCAGGATGATACATATGGTTCTAGGTCAGCTTGATATTCATATACTAACATATTTTAAGGGCCCTGTGCAGAAATTTTATACTAAATCCAATCAAAATTTGCAGACAAGATGCTCTGCTGGCAGCATAAATAATAAAGATTAACAAAACAAAATTTTGCCTTTGAGAAAATTGTGACAGAGAAACATAAACAACATATGCTGAAAATAAGACATTAATAGCACATAAAGTCCCAAATAAGACCTACAAAAAATTTGTGGAATAACGTTTGTTTCAAAAAGTCATTTTTATTCAGGTATAACATATAGAAAGAAAAGTGCATATATGTGTACAGCTCTCTGATTTTTCACAAAATAAGCAGATGTTCTGATTGGCTGATGAGAGCCTTTCAATTTCTGCTAGATGGATGTCTTAAAAGTGGCTAAGAGTATATCAGATTTCATAACCTGTTAGTGACAGTTAACAAAGCCATTGTTACTCTTTTATTCTCACTCTGTACTCAGGAAGAAGCTTTCTCATATTGATTGGGTTCCTCTGGTGAAAATATGCTAACTAGCCAACAGAGAGCTGACCTTCTTAGCAGTGGTCAGCATCTGCATGCAAGTAGGCTGCAGGCACTGAGATTAGAAAGCCCCAGGAGGGAGTGGCTCTGGGTCTTTTCGAAGAGGAGGAGGGCCAGCAGCAGACAATTAAACCAGAACCTTAATCCAGGGGATCAGAGACCATATAAGCAAGATGTCAGTGCTGGGCGGTAGACTTCCTGAGGTTGGCTGTTGGGAACGATTTGTCTCTCTCTGGTGTAAGGCTGGGTGGGCTTGACCCACAGAGGCCAACGATGAGGAAGAGGAAGACGGGAGGATGAATGGAAAAGACAAGTTGTGACGAGAAAGCAGAGCTTCCCAGGCTAGGAAGTCAAGAGACCTGGATGCTCATTGCCCTCAGGGTATTTTCTCACTAAGTCATGTAACCTGGACAGCCTTGGCTTACTCATCTGCAAAATGAACTACTTGAACCAGGTAGAAGCTAAATCCTTTCCATTGTTTGGATTATATACAACAGAAGAGACTCTTTTTCATTGTGTTTTATTTTAGAGAATCTTAATTTAGAAGTTTAATTGATAACAACAAGGTTCAACATTTTAAAAACTATATTAAAAAATAGAGTGGGCTGGGCACAGTGGCTCATGTCTGTAATCCCAGCACTTTGGGAGGCCAAGGCAGGTGGATCATCTGAGGTCAGGAGTTTGAGACCAGCCTGGCCAACATGATGAAAGTCCCATCTCTACTAAAATTTTACAAAAATTAGCTGGGCATGGTGGTGGGTGCCTATAGGCCCAGCTACTCTGGAGGCTGAGGTATAAGAATTGCTTGATCTGGGGAGGCAGAGTTTGCAGTGAGCTGAGATAGGGCCATTGCACTCCAGCCTGGGTGACAAGAGTGAAACTCCATCTAAAAAAAAAAAAAAAAACAGTGAGAAATCTTTATTTCCTTACTTTTCCTAATGTGCCCTTTTCTCCCAGCCCATTCCAATGATAACTCTGTAAATTTCTTTTTTCTTTTCCTTTTTCCTTTTGAAATAGGTGTCTTGCTCTGTTGCCCAGGCTGGAGTGCAGTGGTGCAATCTTGGGTCACTAAAGCTTCAATTTCCTAGGTTCAAGCAGTCCTCTGACCTCAGTCTCCTGAGTAGCTAGTAGCTGGGACCACAGGTGTGTACCACCATGACTGGCTAAATTATTTATTTTTTTGTGGTGATGAGGTCTTGCTATATTGCCCAGGCTGGTCTCAAACTCCTGAGCTCAAGTGATCCTCTCACCTCAAACTCCCAAAGTGCTGTGATTACAGGTGTGAGCCACCATGCCTGGCCTAATTTCTTTTATATTCTTTCCTTATGAGAATGCAAGCATACATGAATGTATATTCTTATTTTCTCAACTTTTTAAAATACAAAACAGTATACTCTGTAATATGCCACTATGCTTATATACTAGGTTTTTGCCACTTAATATATCATGGGAATCTTTTCATATCAGTACATGAGAACCTTGCTGAGCAATATTTGGATTGTTTTTCATCTTTGAGCAATGCTGCAGTGAAAACCTTGTTCATTTGTCATACATTTGTGCAACTCTCTGTGGAGAAAATTTCTGCATATGAGATTATTGAGTCAAAGGGTAAACGCACTATAAACTTTTATATTTGTTGTCAAATTGCCCTCAATAGAGCACCAGTAATATTTGTGAGAACCTGATTCTCCACAGTGTTAGCAGAGAGTATGTAAACAAAAAGTGTGTGTTGGGGGGAGGTTTTTGCCAATTTGATCCATGAAAAATAGTATCTCACCATAGTTTTATTTTGTATTTCTTTCATTATGAGTAAGATTGGAAACCTTTTAACATGTTTAGGAGCCACTTATTTTTCTTTTTTCTGTAAATTGTCTGTCGTTATTCTTTGCCTATTTTTTTTACTAGGTTTGGGTTTTTTAAATATTTATTTCCTTCCCCGTGATTTTTATGTATAAGGAGAGCATTAGTTCTTTTTTTTTTTTTTTTGCAAGCTGAGCTATAAACATATACATACTAAAACTATATTGGCTCATTCCAGTAACATGGTATTTGTATTAAAAGTGATGCGTATATAAAGAAAAGCCCCAAATGTGTACAATCTGTCCAAGGCCGTCTTTGTCATGGTGGGGGTGGTAAGGGCACATGCACCTGACCTAATCTCTGGTCCTCAGAGTGGGATCCTGTCTGCCTTGCCGTTTGTTGTTGGATGTATCTGCATTATCCTTGGAGGTCTATTGGCAGACTTTCTTCTCTCCAGAAAAATCCTCAGACTCATCACCATCAGGAAACTCTTCACTGCCATTGGTAAGGGCGAGGCTGGACATGGGTGAACGTGGGAAGCTCAGAGCAGCCTCCAATTTTACTCTGTTTATCCTCCTACTCCAGGGGTTCTCTTTCCATCTGTGATCCTCGTGTGTCTACCCTGGGTCAGATCCAGCCACAGCATGACCATGACCTTCTTGGTGCTGTCTTCTGCCATCAGCAGCTTCTGTGAATCAGGAGCCCTTGTTAACTTCTTGGATGTTGCTCCTCGGTAGGGACCTCTTTTGCCTCATCCTCTTAGAAACTCAGTTCAAGTCTATCAGCCCTAAACCTGCTCTGATGCGCAAGTAAAATGTGGCAGGTACAACTGGTTGCCGGAAGTGTCAGCACCAGCTCTACACCCTACATCTAAATAATCCCAGGAAGGGATGCAAAGCTGGTCAACCATTGTGAACTTAGTTTTTCCAGGTGTGAACAAGAGGAGTCAGTGGCCATGCTCACAATCAACTGAGGGAGACCCACACACATCTCTCTCTGTTGTGGATTGCAGCAGTTGCCCAGGGTGGGATCACTGAAAGAATTCTTGAGATTCCATAGGGTATGCTCATGAAAATCTTCTTTAATAAAGACAAAGGACACAGGATTGCAGAAGAAAGATCTGTCTCTGATACAGTAAAAACAGAGTTCACTGAGACTTCCAATCATAGCTCCCAGGGTCCCGTTCCAGTCAACAGGACATCCTTCATCTTCAGATAATGAACCACCAAGAAATGTCGTCTCAGGGGAGCCAAGATCTCATTCGATGAGGGATCTTTTATACCCACAGAAGGTATAAAAGTTACAAGATCAGACTCAACAGTAGAAGCCAAAACAACACAACAAAAACCTTATAAGCCAGGTGCAGACCATCCATGTGACCATCTTGCATAAACAATGTTGACAAGTTCATACAGGTTACCCCCTTGGGAGTACCAATCCCTAGCACAGGATTACACTAATAATTAATCAGTACATTTCATTCCGGTTTCACCAAGGCTTACACAATTCCAGCCATCCCCAGAGATAAGTACAGAGTTGCAACAGACCAGCTGAGATTAACCCTTTGTTTGCACAGGAATGTTTCCCTCCCTCTCTCAGGTACTGAGACTTTTAAACATAGGTATACTTGGGTATAGTAGAGTACCATCTCTCTCTCTCAGGTACACGGGCTTTCTCAAAGGACTATTGCAAGTCTTTGCACACATAGCTGGAGCCATCTCTCCCACTGTTGCTGGATTTTTCATCAATCAGGTGAGGTCAAATGTTCTGATGAGTATTCATAAGAGAAACCTATAGAAGCATGGTGTTTTCACATTTGCCCAGGCTTCTATCCTAGAAGATGCATTTAAAGTAGTCAAAATAAACCAACTTACATCATGACTTAAGCATTTCCTAAGAATCTTATTGGTATAAACTTTACATGAATAAAGAAGTGTATGGCATTCTTCTTTTCTGCCATATACTTCATTTACTTGTGAAAAGCACTTACTGCCATATACCATTCACTTACTGGTGAAAAACCACATGCAAGTTGAAGGATGACTTTCCTGTGGTTTTGCACCAGTAAGTCAGAAAAATAAATGAATAATAACAAAGAAAGAGTATTCTTTATGAAATCAAGTCCCTTATCTTTTTTGAAGCTTTGATTCCCTTCTAGGCACTAACACACACACTGTCGGGAAATGGTAGCTTAAAATGCAAACTCTCAAACTGATCTTGTTTCTCTTGTCATTTATTGACTCATTCATTCAATAAATATTTGACATTAGTATGTGCCATGCACTATTTAAGTGAATAAAACACAATTCCTTCTCTTGTGAAACCTATATCGTAGAAAAGAAACAGAAAGTAATCTATCAAAGTAAAATATATATTGAATGGTAGCAAATGCTAAGAAAAGAGAATAGAGTACATAAAAGGGGGTTGAATTTCTATTTTAATTACGGTGATCCAGGAAGGACTCACTGAAAAAGGAACATTTAAGCAAGGAGTGAAAGGAAGTGAAGGTGTGAGACAAATAGATTTCTGGGGGAGGAGCATTCCAGCCAAGGAAATGCCCAGTACTCTGGCCCTCATGGCAGAAATGTACCTGAGTATTCCAGGACCAACCAGGAAGCCCACAGGAGTCAGAGTGGAGGTAGGGGAGGGAGCAATAGGACACAGAGCCAAAGCCTTTCTGAAGCAAGAGGGACAAGAACTGGGTTAACGTTAATAACTTGTAATTTTCTACCTACAGGATTCAGAGTTTGGTTGGAGAAATGTCTTCTTGCTTTCAGCTGCTGTTAACATATCAGGCCTGGCTTTCTACCTCATCTTTGGCCGAGCAGATGTGCAGGACTGGGCTAAAGAGCAGACAGTCACCCACCTCTGAGCAAACCGAGAGATGTGTTAGATCCCGGTGCTTTGTTGCTTTTTGTTTTCCCTCACAGACATTTCCCTTTCATGCCTGCGTGACTGATAAGCCATTAGCTAGACCCTGACTATGTAATCCTAAAGATTTTAGCATGCCTGGAGATTTTACAGGGGAAGAAAATAGGCTATTTAACTGTAAGCTACCAAAAGCATAGGTGTGTTGAGATTTCCATATGTTCTCCACTCTTCCACTGTTATCCTGGTAAAAGAATCAGGGGCTGGGGACAATTTCTTTCAAGCAAAAGAGGAAGCCAGACCTTGGGACCAAGAACTGAGAATCACAAGGGTGTTGTGCCCAACATGCAGAAGATGAATCCTCTGAGTTGTCATCAAAAGAAAGCCCCAAACAACAGAAAGCATAGTGTTTTCCATTGTTGGTGAAAAATGCCAAGGAGGAAAGAACAATAATGCTTCTATCATGACAAGGGAAAAGAACGTGCCTGCAACTAATGGGAGTGAGACAGGACGCTTTAACTTTTTCAGACAGCTTGCATTCTGTGGATACCAGCTCTGGAATCAGAGTCGCTTCTGGAATATCTGTACTTCTAGAACCAGCTTTTGGACAGTTACCGTCTTTCAGGCCATCTTGTTCTGGCCCACATCTGCTTTTTGGCTTGGTGCAGATCTTTGACATCTTAGTGAATGGACATTGCCCAGTGTCTCTTCTAGCCCCTCCAACAGTTCTTCATGTGTTACTGCTGCTGGACACTGACCCATGATGTCTGCCTTCATCTGCCCCTTTGACTATTGGAGTCCCACGCAGCATTCAGTAGGATTCAATTCAATGTGGAACCATTCAACATTCACCTCCTTAACCTAAAATATCTTCCAAAGATGTGTGTAAGACACACTGCCTTGACCTCACACAAAATGTCTGGAGAAATGTGTGTAGTGCTTTTGTTAAAGCCCCTATATGGGTAGCATGGGGTATCATAAGATAGCAAAACCATTTCAACACTGAGAGAATTGATGCACACACACCTTGTGGGGATGGCAGAAATTAAAACCATACACAGTATTAAGCAGCAGATAACTTAAAGTATCAAACACGTGAATATGTAATAACAACTGTAGAAATAATGAGTGGTTACATGGCGTATGAAAGTGGATGATAAGTGCACTAATCTGAGTGTAAGGGAGGACCACCCCTACAAAGTTTCAGCTGAGTTGGGATCTGAAGGACAATAGTTAACTGGTGTGGGAGGCTGAGGGGAGAACATTCTAGGAAGAAAGAACAGCATAAGCAGAAGTTTCATGGCAGGAGGCAGCAACTGGGTATGGCCAGAGTACAGCGAATAATGGAAGTATGGTTTGTGAGGAGGCTGTAGAAGAATTAAGGTCAGGCGCACACAGGATTCTGCGGGCTCAGTGAAGTGCATTGGTCTTTATTTTGAAATCAGTGGGAAGTGTCCTGGTTTTCAAAGGCTACTCTGCATGAGAGATCAGGCTGAAGTAGGATGTTACAGTGTAGTCTAGGAGCCACGATGGCCCCTGGCATGAAGGGAATAGACATGGTGAGAGGTGAATGGGTTATTTGATTCAGCGAATAAACCTGACAGACCTAATAACAAATGATAGAGTTGGGCTCAAAGAAGGAGTTCAAAACAAACATGTTTAAGATTGTGAGAAGGTCCTGGCGACACAGAAAAGTTGCCTATGCCCCAAAACACAAAGCACTAATGGAAAGTTCCTGAAAAGGTTGGGACAAGGAGGAATTTTGTGACCTGAAGCCCAGTTATGAAAATGATGAGAGATGGTGTGAGGACAGCTCCTGCCTTTTCACCCGACAGCCCAAGATCGTGTCTTCATCCACTAGTGTGAGATCCAGGGAGGGTCTTATTTTTATATCTTTCTTCCTACTTGGAAGGGAGGCAGTAAGTGGAGAAAGAAAAAGATCTGAAGTGCTCTTGTCAGACCAGAGGAGAGAGGCCCTGCATATTTCCTGGCAGGACTATCACCACACTGTTCCTTAGCTGCTTCAGTTTCCTCTACATATCCTGAATGGAAACTTCTAAAGCTCAGGAACCATGACATACATTATTTTGTAACATCTTTAATACAAAGAACAACAGTATCATACACAGTAAAAGCTACTGACAACTGACACAGTATGAATCAACGAATGAACAGCTCCAGAGTAGGGGGAGAACTATTAGGGAAGAAATGGATAGGAAGAAAAGAGGCCACATTTTTATTTAACTCCATTTGTTTTCTGAGCATCTAATCATCTAAATGTATGGATTATCTTTTTTTTTTTAATCTAAAATTAAGATATTGACAGATTGGGTCTGCTCCATATCATTTCTCCAGCAGTCATTAAGCCAATCCCAGGCTCTCAGTGACAATTAAGATGCTGTCCACCAGGGCACAAGATCACTTGCTTGTTTCTGAGCCACTCCGTGTCTGCATTTATCCATCTCTTTTCCTTCTCTGGATCCTGTTCTTTCTTTCTGATCTGTCACTTTTAGCTATTTCTGAAAATGAGTTACATTTCTCCCTGGGCCCACCAGAGAAGGAGCTAACTTGTGCTGTTTCCTCTAAAATGGGCCATCCTTAAATTATGGAAATCTCCTAAAATTTTGCACTGGTTCACACATCTACAATGAGGGACACTAAAAGTTGAAAATTGTGAAAAAGTCTTTCATGAAGTCTTAGAATAAAATTTTATCTTGTGTGTGTTTATTAGTTTAACAATCATTTATAAAGCAACTGATGCAGAGAGAAAGACAGAGGTAAACCACCACCCCCATTTAAAATTCAGATATGTTACATGTTACAGACAATACATGTTAAAAAACGATGCTCACAGGATATGTGGGAGTGTAAAACAGGCTCCTAGGACTCCTACCACCTTCGTCCTGATGCTGGTGATGGCCCCACAGCCTCAGCTTTGTGTGCTGGTCCCTCTTCCCTTCAGTAAGAAGGTTGGTCCCAGGCTCTGCAAGTGCTCTGTTTCACACTAAGATTGGTAAACAAAGAAAAAAATAGTGCACACAAATGTCATTGGTGAGTCCTTGTACCCAGAGGACATAAGAAAGCTTTTCAGCATTTCAAAAAGATGTTCTGGTCTATTATATTTTTCTCAAGTTGTCTTCCTTCCATAAGTGATAGGTTATCCTAGGCATTCTTTTACACATCTCCCCTCTAGACGTAAAAATAAATATGGCTATCTATGCAAGTTTATCATCCTTCCTCTTCCCTATTCTCAACAGTCTTTATGTAAAAGATCCAAACAATTCTAACATTTTGCTAGGGGCAGGCACATGGTATGAAACCATCCATCAGTTGCTCTATATCTATGTTGTATCCTGAGAACAAAACAAATCAAAACAAAGCGAAAAACACAGTGCATACCAGTGGGGTTTAACACTCTGGTAGTTTGATATTGCTGCTCTCCCTATATATTTTACCCACAGTCATAATAAGGCATACCTTTTGTACTGTTACCAAATTCTTATTCTTTGTAAACAAACTTGTTACTAAGAAAATGAAAATAAAGCCCTCCGGGCCGGGCGCGGTGGCTCAAGCCTGTAATCCCAGCACTTTGGGAGGCCGAGGCGGGTGGATCACGAGGTCAAGAGATCGAGACCATCCTGGTCAACATGGTGAAACCCCGTCTCTACTAAAAATACAAAAAATTAGCTGGGCATGGTGGCGCGTGCCTGTAATCCCAGCTACTCAGGAGGCTGAGGCAGGAGAATTGCCTGAACCCAGGAGACGGAGGTTGCGGTGAGCCGAGATCGCGCCATTGCACTCCAGCCTGGGTAACAAGAGCGAAACTCCGTCTCAAAAAAAAAAAAAGAAAATAAAGCCCTCCTTTGTGGTCCTGCACCCACCACACTTTTTTTTTGGACCCTACCCAAAACTGTCACCAGTCCTTTCAAAGAACAATTGCTGTCATCTATGTTTACTGGGATAGTGGACTCTGGTAAGTTAGGCTGAAACTAGGCTTTACCTAGTTAGTAGGTGTCCAGATTAGCTCCTTCGATGTCATATTCTCCAAAACCTGAAAATGGGGGCTGGCCAAGGTTCTAAACTGGGGTGTCAATCCAGGGGCCTATGTAGAGTGACTCCAAGGCCACTGAATGCTTTAATTGGTTGACATAGAAAAAGACCTACAGGAGGTTAAAATACTGTCACAGTCCTGAAATTCTTTCCTGCCTAATGCCCATGTGGCTGTGATGGTGTCTGAAGGGAGAAACAGGCCTATGAAGTGACTGAGTCTACTCACAGGTGCAAAAGTGGAGGGAACATTTCCTACTAGTCACGTGTCTATGCTCTGTCTCTGTCTTCGAGGAATAGAACTGCATTGTCTATTTCTCTTTACAAACCCAAACACATTCACCTAAATCTACTATTAACATCTATTTACATAGTAAACAAATGTGAATCCTTCAAGACAATTTTTCAAGATGGATCTCAGGTGGCTAATTGGGCCGAAATTTAAAATAGAGCCAAGAAGCAATTTTCTGACCAGGCAGGAGTCACACACATACTCTCAATTCCCTGAAAACCTGCATCCATTCATATTTGGGACTTCCAGCATTCACCTGAACCAAGCAATCGGAGCTCAGCAGCTTCAGTCAATCAATCAGGGTTCAGCTGTATTGACCAACCAGAACTCAGTTTTGCCAACCAATCAGAAATCAACTATGCTGACTAATCTCAACTAAATTTCTTTCAAGCTTTTATTTACATAAATGAACCTGATTAAAAACACAGGTGGGGCCAGACCCAGTGGCTCATCCCTATAATCCCTATAATACCAGCACTTTGGTAGGCCAAGGCAGGTGATCACTTGAGGTGAGGAGTTAGAGACCAGTGTGGCCAATATGGTGAAACCTCCATCTCTACTAAAAATACTACTAAAACTACTACTAAAAATACAAAAACTAGCCAAGTGTGGTGGCAAGCGCTTGTAATCCCAGCTACTAGGGAGGCTGAGCCAGGAGAATCACTTGAACCCTGGAGAAGGAGGTTGCAGTGAGCCAAGATCATGCCACTGCACTCCAGCCCAGGTGACAGAGCGAGTCTCCGTCTCCAAAACAAACAAACAAACAAACAAAAAACATGGGTGTGAGGGAACATTTGCTGTAAAAAACTGGGCCTGGGTGGCTCAGTCTTAAATCCTGAAACTTTGAGAGACCTAGGCAGAGGACTGCTTGAGGCTGAGAGTTTGTGACCAACCTGGGAAACATAAAGATCCCATTTCTATATAAATAATATTTAAAAAACAGCAGGGCATGGTGGCGTGTGCCTAGTCCCAGCTACTCAGGAGGTTGAGGTGGGAGGATCACTTGAGCTCAGAAATTCAAGGCTGCAGTGAGCTGTGATGGTACCACTGCCCTCCAGCCTGGGCAACAGAACAAGACTGACTAGAAAACAAAACAAAATAGAAAACTGAGCCTTCCATTCATTCTTTGGAATCCACTTTCATTTTGTACCCTGGGTTTCCTCTCCACAGTCTGCAAACAATTCGCTGGAATAAAGTCTCTTTCCTCCAAATTCCTATTCAGAAAACTGTTGTTCACATTCTTGGCATCAAAAGTGAGATTTGAAGCCCTGTCCTGAGCCAAATCATGGGTGGGTGCCAGCAAGAGCCCCTTGAACTCAGTTGTCTTCTCAGTAGTGCCAGTGGGGAGGGAAGGGTTGGATAAGTCCTCTCAAATTCAGACCTCCCATGCTTTGGTTGAAGTCTCAGAGACTTTATTCTTTCCCTGTAGGCCCCTCCATCTGGACTCCAGAGAGGACATTATTACCTGTTGGCCCCAGTTTGGAGGAGGGGAACAGTTTCCTAGCCTTAGAAATTCCCTCTACCCAGACCCCAGATGGGACATTCCCTTTTGACCTCAAGTTTAGTGGGGTGATCTTTCCAGTTTCAATCAGTTTCCTCCAACCAGACCCCTGAGAGGACATTCCCTCTCAGGGATTGGCTCCAGATTGGCTCCAAGTTTGCTGGAGGCTTTTCAAGTTGCCTTCCTCTGACCATCCAACTCTAGAGAGCTTCCCAGCTGGCCCTGGGTTTTGTGGGGGGCCTTCCCATTATGACTTCTCCAGTCTATAAGGTTTTGTGGGGACACAGGCACTAAGGGTAATGGAAGGGATGACTTTATCAGGTGAGTACAATGGGTAGCCTGTGTTGTAAGTTTTTCCCTGCTGATCAACCACCTGCTGGGACTCCAGATGGCTTTATAAGCAAAATTTATGGTCTGCTCAGTTGTAATTGGCTAGGTCTCTGAACAAAAATTACCCACGATAATCTTCATCTTTGCTGGACCAAACAGGGCTCCTCTGAAATTCCAAAGCTTGCCTCTCTGTGCACACAGAAAATACTGAACCTCTCAGAGACATTGGAAAGCCTTTATCAGTTGGCACTTTGAAACTTGTAAGCAGAATCAAGAGGCCACCATTGTCTCTCTTAAAGAAAATAATTCCAAATTGAGTGAGTGCCTTAATAAAATTGGAAAGCGAGATTAGTGCCCGCAAGACAGACCAAAGCTGCAAAAAATCCTCTGGAAAAACCTTCTCCTGGGCCCTCTTTCCTGTTGTTCTGCCTGTCTTCTGCACCTTTTTTTTTTTTTTTTTGCCACCTCTGCTTTATCTTTCACTCCCTCCTTCCTCTTTTGCTTGTTCACCTGGTTGTCTGAAAAGTTAGAGCACTGGCCAACACTGGGGCTACTCTATCTATCCTTAGCCCTGGTATGCTGTCAGTGTTCCCTTCCTGCAGCCCTGACTTCCTTCAGATGTTTGGGATAGCCAACCAGCCTATCATGGTCTCTAAATCTTTGCCTATCCCCTTCCAACTAGGACACTTCCCTGGCAATAATTGTTTATTTACTTGTCCCATTGGCCTCTCTAAAATTCCCAGGAAGAGACTTCTTAGAAACCTACTAGACCCGTATTTCCTTCTCTCAAAAAGAGTAAATATGTTTGAGCTATCCTCACCTGGAGACTTTGCCACAGAAACAGCTTTTACCCAAATTCTCATCTATTTAGTTAACCTCATCAATGCTACCCATCCTGCTCTCCAAGAGGTACCTGAGAGTCTTAGGGCACAATCCAAAACTGATGTTGGTCACATGCATTCAGCACCTCTGATCAAGATTCAGGTAAACCGAATAAGCCCCCGTCCACCATTAAGCAATACACCCTGAATCCGAGGCCCAGACTTGTGTACAGACCAGAATGGACAACTTTACACAAAAGAAACTTTTCCCTTGCACCAGGCTTTACAATACTCCTAGTCTCTCCATCTGTAAACCCAACGGTAGAGTATAGCAATCTTTCCAGGATCTTAGGGCTATCAATAACATAGTCATTCCTCAATACCCAGTAGTTCCTGACTTTCATACCTTACTCTCTAATGTTCCCCTGAAAGCCAATACTCTTCAGCTGCTGACATTGCTAGTGCCTTCTTCAGTATACCTGTACATCCTGACAGCCAGTACCTTTCAGCTATTGACCTTGCTAGTGCCTTCTTCAGTATACCTGTACATCCTGACAGCCAGTACCTTTCAGCTATTGACCTTGCTAGTGCCTTCTTCAGTATACCTGTACATCCTGACAGCCAGTACCTTTCAGCTATTGACCTTGCTAGTGCCTTCTTCAGTATACCTGTACATCCTGACAGCCAGTATCTTTCCCATGGTTTTCCAAGTCTGT